CAGGGGCCCGAGGGGGCACCCTGGGCTACATGCACAGGGGCCCGAGGGGGCACCCTGGGCTACATGCACAGGGGCCCGAGGGGGCACCCTGGGCTGCACTGACAGTTCAGGGCTCGGACTCTACTATAATGTCCATGTTATGGTATGCACGTTACAACCAGGTCAACTGGCCTTTGGATTCAAATTAAGCACTCATTACAAGTGTTTAGGGAATGAGTAACAAAGCCAAACCTGGTGAAAGCTCATTAAAAAAACATCGGAAAGCACAAGAACAGATTTTAGAACCCAGGAAACCCAGATAAATGAATAATCCATTTAAGAGCTGGTTTCCTTGGGGTGAAAAAAAATCAAGGGAACAGAGGATTAACTTCCCTAGTAAGAAATAAAGAAGGAGCAAATACAAAAGTAACTGAAGGGATGTTCGGGCACAGTAAAGTCACGTGACCCCACACTTCCCTGTTCTGTGTGGCTTTCAAAATCTGGACCAAATGAATGGTTTTCTGAAAAATATAAACTATCAAGATATCCCCCAAAGAAACTTTAAAAATCAGAAAATATTGGTTCTCAGAGAGAAGATTGGGGGGGGGGGGTGTAAAAATCACCACCCAGAGAATCACGTGGAATCACGTGGTGCCCACTGTCCCAGAAGTCAGTCCTGCTGGTGTTTACTGGGGAGCTTTAGTAAAGCCTTTGTTTTGTTTTTTTGGCCACTAGAAATCATGAAGAAAGGACATAAATCTCTTCATTTATTTCGATGAAGCTGTCTATCATCGATAACCTGAGACACTCACCATGGTACAGAGAAATGGCAGGCAGCTTCACGTATGGATTTAGAAGGAAACGCTGTAAGTGCAGCAGGGGCCGGGATGTGTGACAGTGGATTGTGATGGCCGTGGACGGAGCTGGCGTGTGCTCTGCAGTAGGATGCTTCCCAGTGTGCCCAGCAGCCTCAGTTCACTCCCCGACACCCACAAGGAAACTAGGGAGGAAGCCAGGCATGGGCACTCATGCCTACACCTCAGCTCTCCAGAAACAGAGGCAGGAGGATTCTGAGTTCAAAGCCAGCCTAAGCTAAACGGTGCAATCCTGTCCCAAACAATGACAACAAAAGAATCACAGAAAGGTTGTTTGATATTCAGAAACTTCTGTGATCACCACAGAATTCTCAACAGAATGTGTTCATCTCCATAGATGAGGGATGCACATCGGTTGAATTACTATTCCAGCCTGGTTTTGAAAAGCTCGATAGATGAGAAGGTGCATGCTCCCCCAGTGTGCTGGTTAAATGCATCTCAAGTCAGAAAGCAGACTTGGGAAAAGCCTGGAGGGCGTGAGGACCCAGGAAATGTGCATATGCTCTGAGGGGATTGAAGGCTGGCTCCTCCTCGTATGTGCAGCGTTCAGAACCTTGTCCACACGTCACAACAGGTCATGGACGTCATCTGCTATCATTTAGGTTATTAAGGACAATGGGCATAATTAACATCTATTGCATGCATACTTTCTGGCTCATCACTCACCTTCTGGGAATTTGGGGTATCGGGTGTGGGTGTGTTTACAGGACATTGGTGCAGATGTGGCTATTTACCCATTGTTTGTAACAGCCAAAGACAGGAACCCCCTGAAATGTGCATCGGGAGAGGACCAGGCTGGGGGGTGGGTGTCCATACAACCAGCTCCTCTGCTGGTTAAGGTAACAAGCGAGATGCTGGGCTGAAGAGCTTAGGAGGAGGAAGGAAGGGTAAGCACGGTGCTGACTGGTGTGGACCAGACCACTCACTGCTTACCTAGGTCACCAGATATTCCTGTATGTGCAAGAGTGCCTCCGAGAGGACAGAGATCCTTCTGTTGCCTCCAGACTTCATCCTTTCAAGAGACTTATTTGTTTTCCCATGTGTGTATTGCCCAATGCAAAGGAGATAAAGTGTTTGTAACAAGCCTGTTAGCCCTTGTAGAGATTCAGCCAGTTCTGTGTATGTGGCGAACTCTTGCTTTCAAGCATCTGAAATCCGACCCCCAGTCTGTGCTCCTGATCTGCATTTTCTTGTAGGAATGTTCTATGTAAGCTACAGTCTGTCCCCAGAAAGAGAATTAAGAGACAGCAGAATAAACCATGCGTGCAGATTGCCTTGACTTCAACCACCTCCCCGCAAAGCCTTTTGGAATTCAGTCACGCAGTCTCAATTTCAGGCCCCCTCGCCCCTAGGATGCGGGTCTACAGTCTCTTGAAACCAGGAATTAGGGCCAGAATGTTTGCACCACCAAGCTAGGCGGTACCCATGGATGCTCTGCCCCCTTGTGGCAAGAATATGTTATAACAACCAGGCCATTGACACATAGGTGTGTGGATTCTCTATGTCCAACCCACAAAGCTTCAAAAGGCAACCATGCAGGGGTCACGGTATGTGTCCTATCAAAATAATGATTATATATGTGGATTTTGCACATAGACATGTAGTAATAATTTTTTGCAATAAAAATAGTTTCAAAACTACAAACAAAACAAATAAAAAACAAAAGCCAAAACAACCCAAGCAGGTGGGTTGTTTATATATACACAGCACACATACATAAACATCATGCAAACTCTGATATTTATGCTTAGGTGGTAAAGTTTTTGCAAAGGATTTTTGGGTATGTTCAGCTTGGTCCTTCCTCAGTCAGACAATGTTCTCGTTGTAGTTTCCTTGTTGTATGCCCCGGACTATGCAACACAAAGCCACATGAGGCCGATCCTACATGGCAACATCGTAAAACAGAAAATCAGGATAGCTCTAGAATACAGCTTTAGCATGTGCATCTTTTATGTGAATTTTTTATAAAGAGCAAGCTCATAAATATTTTTAGATTTGTGACCCATAGCATCTTTTGTTTTGTTTTTGTGTGTGGGGTGTGGTATATGTATGTGTATATATGTGTACGTGTGG